TTTTTTTTTTTTTTTTTTTTTTTTTTTTTAACTTCAAAACTATGTTCTTATTGTTCGTAGGTTGGCTGTGATTGTGCGTGTAGACTATGACTTATTATTTATCATGAATTTCTTTAATTTTTGTTTTGTTTTTGTTTTCGAGTATTTATGTGAATAGTACAGTTCCTTTAGTTTTTTTTATTTATTGTAATTGTAACATTTAAAAAATAACGGCCTTCCTGCTACAGCATTTTCAAAGGTGGCTGCTACCTGAGATTGATAAATACGGGGATAAGTATTGAGTTAAAAAGGTAGCTAGGAGGATGCACTGTCCTTCAAATGTTAGGAACCTGGCAATAATATTTTGATTAATTCATAAGGAAAAAAAAAATCCTGAACAGGGGCTCTGGTGTGTATGAATATCATAGGATTGAATGCTACTTTGGACTGTTATATTAACAATATACATTGTGTTTGAGACATTACTACTTCTCAGATTAGGTTCTGTTTTGGACTCTAATATTAGCAATGTATGTTTGTTTTATTCTAAAAATTATAAAATCTGAATATCAGGTCTAAATTTCATGTACTACGCTATTCATATCATATAGCCAAATTTTAATTTGAACTGCAGGAGATTTAGGGACAAGAAAGAGGCAGCAGAGCCTGAGGCAGATCCAGAACGGGATCAGAGAACTGTATTTGCTTATCAGGTTGATTAGTTGGCCTTTTCATTTGTTATAAAATTATAAGATCTGATATGTTAGGACATTGGTTATCCTTTTCTAATGATTGCCAATCTGCTTTGTGATGATTACAGATGCCCTTAAAGGCATCAGAGAGGGATGTTTATGAATTCTTCTCAAAAGCGGGCAAGGTCAGTTGGCTTTAATTTTTCATACAGTTTTTTTGTTTGTTTTTATATCTTATTTTACTATTTTACAAGTGGGAGATGGCTTATGTTGCCATTAGAACCTTTGTTATGTCTTATATAGTGGTAAGTTAAGTTGATAACAATCAGTATTCTTTGCCGGGGGTTCAGTTGAGTATTCCATTGATTTTATTGTGTTTAACAATCTGCATGCTGGGGAGTGCATAAAAGGGTTATATGTAGATATTTTGAACCACTTTGCATTCTCGAGTGAATATCTTATCCCTCACGACTTCTATCTTCTGAGAATTCCTCAATTCTATTTACTTCTAATGTTTCTTATTTTTAGGTGAGGGATGTCCGTCTGATCATGGATAGGAACTCCAGACGATCTAAAGGAGTTGGGTACGCATTTTCTTGTAAAATAATTTATTCTTCATGTGCATGCACTATTGTGGTATTAGGATATCAACTTTCAAGAATCATGTTTAACTGTATTCTTAAATGGACTAGCAATGCGATAATGATGAGGGATGATGGGAATACCTTGCACTCATGTTTAATCAATTCATGCTGCGTACTCAAGGTAGATGACATAATCCCGGTTTTCTTTTTGGTCCTTTTCCCAATTTTCTTCCTCTGCATTTGTGATACACATACAGTGAGGATTTCTTTCTTTTGTTGTTGAGCCATTTCAGTTTATATCTCTTGAACTGGTTATTACATATTTATCAACAAGGTTGACATGGAGGGAAATTTTTCTACATTCGTCTTTCTTCTTTGGGGGTGGGGGTTTTGGCTGGGTAGCCAATGGGTATCTAAATGATGTCCATATAGATTTGATCCTTTTTGGATTTTAGAATTGTTTGACAAGTAGGTTGCAGTATCAGACCAGCCTTAAGTTGGGTTCTCTTTCTTAGCATTGGATATGTTAACTGGCACATAAATAAGTGAAAATGTGTTGGTGGGTTATGTTCCTCCCTGTCTCAGCGAGTCACTATGGTTTCTAACATGGTCTTACACTCTCTTGATTGAAATATATGTTTTAGTTTTGAATTTTTATTATGCCAGGCTAACATTTTCTTTACATGAGTCAGATGCATCAAAAGATACTCTCAGCTTGAGCTGTCTGAACTAGAGTTTTTGTTTCCCTACATCTTTGCTGTATGCTTTGTAAGTTTTGATTGAAGTCTTTGTATTTTGTAGTTCAGAAAACTTGATGTAACTTCTTGATGAGGATGCAGGTATATTGAATTTTATGATGCAATGTCAGTGCCAATGGCAATTGCCCTCTCTGGCCAGCTTCTTCTAGGACAACCTGTAATGGTCAAACCTTCTGAGGCTGAAAAGAACCTTGTCCAATCTAATACTACTAGTGGAGCTGCTGGGGTAGTAGGACCATACGGAGCTGTGGACAGAAAACTGTATGTGGGGAACCTTCACTTCAACATGACAGAGGGTCAATTGAGAGAGGTATTTGGCTTTGGCTGTCTGGTGAATGTGTTTGACATGGGTTTTTATTACTGTCAGTCATCATTAGGAATATGAATGTGGAAAATGAAGCATTAATTTTATTTAAATATAACCTGAAGAACAATTTCGTAGCTTTCCTCTAAACTGGTTTAGTGTATCTAGTCTGCTGTCAGATTTTAATAAAATGATTTGATAATTGGACATTCATAAGCTTTTACCTTTTTTTCTTTAGATTTTTGAGCCATTTGGTCCAGTGGAGCTTGTGCAGCTGCCTCTTGACTTGGAGACGGGACATTGCAAGGGCTTTGGGTTTGTTCAAGTTTGTTACTAATGCTTAACTTCAAAAAGTGTTGTTTCCAATAATAATAATGTCACTTAACTCTTGTATATTAATTCTTGAATAGTTTGCCCATCTTGAGCATGCCAAGGCTGCTCAGAGTTTAAATGGAAAATTGGAGATTGCTGGCAGGACTATCAAGGTAAAAAGTGTTTCTGTGTGGTTCTGTCTGTTTTATTCACTTCACATGTCCTTAGTTTGTAATTAATGCTGTTCATCAAACACAGGTTTCATCTGTAACTGATCATGTTGGAAACCAAGATACAACTGCAAAATCTGCAGACTTTGATGATGATGAAGGTGGTTTGGTAAGTGTTCACTTGTATAAAACTTGAACAAAAATGGGTTCCCACCGACAATTTTTCATTGAAATTTATTTTCATTGTATGAAAATTTTGTTTAGGTGGACTGTGCATGTGCATGGTTTTCTATTCAGTTTGTTAGGCTTAATTGATTGGATGTTTTGTTTATTTCAATATTACTTTATATACTTTAGTTGCTAATAGTTCTAGATCTAAATATTTGTAGATCAATTACTGGCTTGTAACTATTTGATATTTTTTTGCATTAAAGCTTTACTTCGAATGAGTACTTACCATTTCCCTTGAGTAAATGATGCTGAAATGGCATTACAATTTTATGATGTCAGACTAATTAAATACTTAGGATCCCTTATTAGTTGTGGTTTTTTTTTTTTTTTTTTTTTATATTCACTTGGCTTAGAATTAGTTGCTTCCTGCATTCCCTCTTTCTGATCTGGCTTGAAATCTTAAGTTTTCCATTTTTTTCCTGCTTCCACTTATTTGGCACTCGGCAGTCAGAAACTGCATTTTTTTTTCTATGTGGGACTCTGGGTTAGGGTGGCGGTGCTTAAGTAGCGGCTATTTGCTTCCATGAAGTTCTGTTTTTTTTTTTGTTTGTTTAAGAAAAAGCTACTTTTAATTTGAAGAGCTTTCCTAAAATTGTTTGGTGCTTTTTTTTCAAGGGGAAAAGGAGCCAACAAAATCTCAGACAAATTCTTAATTTAGTCTATTATTGGTAATGAGTTTCCTTCTCATGTATTATGCTTTATTCTGTATACAGGCTTTAAATGCCCAATCAAGAGCATTGCTTATGCAGAAGCTGGACCGCTCTGGCATTGCTGCAAGGTTTGTGTAATTTTTTTGCTCTTGTATATTCTGTGAAGATATTCATTTTCTTAACAGATTCCAAACACTGCAGCATTGGTCTGCCTGTTGTCAATGGGTCAGCTCCTGCTCAACAGGCTATTATGCCTATTGGTAATCCAGGTATAATACCAGCTCCAGCTGTCCCAACACAAATTATGCCTACCCCAGTGATTGAACCTGTTGGAAACCCCACTGAGTGTTTACTGTTGAAGAATATGTTTGATCCCAACACTGAGGTGAGAATTAATTGATCAATTACAATCACCCTCTGCCATTTCATTTAACAAAGTACTAATATCAAATATTACAAAATGCAGACAGAACCAGATTTTGATCTAGACATTAAAGAGGATGTAGAAGAAGAATGTTCCAAATATGGACGGGTGAAGCATATCTATGTTGACAAGTAAGTTTATGAACAGTTAGCATTTGTCCATAAATGCTCTATTCATGCCATTCTTCCTTTATCTTATTTATCCCATGTACACTTTGTGCACACTTGCCATTTTATAATTGGTTCATCTTTTATACAGAAGAAGTGCAGGATTTGTGTATTTGCAGTTTGAAACGGTGGAAGCAGCAAGTGCTGCTCAACGTGCAATGCACACGAGGTGGTTTGCAGGCAGAATGATTTCTGCTATCTTCATGGTATGTCTTTGAGTGCTCTAATGACTTTGTTTCTTCAGAAATGCAAATTTAACACATTACAGTAAAAACTGTGTTGATTTCAACTGCCCCGTATTGGGAGGGTATGTGTCTGGAAACTGGGCATTGTCTGTTGATAATTTTAAGCTGAGGAGATTAGTATTGTTATAATTTTATAAACAAGGGAAGCTAGTGTGATTTAAACAAATCACATGAGATGTCTTGTAATTAATCTGCTTTCTAATAGAGTAAAGGTTTGATTGGCTTATTGGGTGACTATGATTTCTGCTGTCTACATGGTATTATCTATTGTCATAGTGCCCTAATGACTTCGTTTCTTCATATATGCAAATTCGACACATTACAGCAAGAATTTTGCTGATTTCAAATGTCTCATATGGGGAGGGTTTGTGTCCGGAAACTGAGGAGGCTATGTCTGATGAAAATTTTAAGCTGAGGAGGTTTTATAATATGATTTACAAAAGCAAGGGCTGCTAGTGTGATTTAAACAAATCACATGGGATGTCTTGTAATCTGCTTTGTAATAGAGTAAAGGCTTGATTTGCTTATTGGGGGAATCATTTGACCTGATAAGCAGTGGGAATTAAACCCCAGTCCTTCATACATGAAGTGCGTTGATCCTTGTTAGTTGAAACAATTCTGTTAGCAATTTATCTTCTAATTGAGCATTCGATTTTACCAGGCTCATATAAATGTTATCACAATTTTTTTTACGGTCACTGTTATGGCAGTTAAGCCAACATGTTAAGAGTACGAAACTAATAAATAAATCATGCTAAGATCGATGTGTATTTTTCATTGAGAATGCTTTGCATGCATTCGTATTGAGTTTCTAGCAGATGAGCGCTTAATTATCCGTGCCTTGCTTAACATTGTTAGAATGTTAGTGCAAAATTTGAGTTTCAAAGGAAATTTTCAGTGGGTCAACTTAAATTTAAATGCTTTATGTGCATTGCATTGTGCAGATGTAATGGCGGTGTGCAAAAATTGATTATCAAATAGCAAGCTTCTGGTTTTGCTGCAACCCCTTTCTTTTATATGCGTATTTTAAGAATATTTGTTTCTGTTTTGCAGCAACCTCAGATATATGAAGCCAAGTTTAAAGGGGACGCATGAAGAAGTGCTGACACACCTTATGGCTCTCGGAAACGACAATCTGCATATTTTGCTTGTTAGTTGTTTAAAATTGAGTTTAGTTCATAATTTTTTAATTCATGACTTGTACTATTAGATGTACGGTTACATAACTTTTACTGTCCAAGTGGTGTGATCTTCATGATCAGTGATTTTTTTTTTCATCCCAATGTATTCTATGTTAACCATAGTGCCTTCCCTTTTTTATCTGTTAATTTCTTGGTTACTTTTTCTATGCTAATGGCATGGAAGTGCTAGTATCGAACTCTAGTTCGCTTGTCCTGGAGAACCGAGAACGTATGTAGTGAATTGTACGATACGAAGGGTGGTCACATGCACGAAAATGGTAAGGTGTTAACGTTAAGAAAGGCAACTTTCATATAGCTTGAAAATGGTAAGGTATTTACGAACTCAATAGCATTTTAATGTTTTTGAAAAACTCTGAATTTTCTTAAAAGTATTTAATGCAGTTAATTAACTAGGTAATTAAATAACATGAATCAAGTATTAATCAGTTGGCAAAAAATTACAAATGATTCATGTTTGATACGTCAATGGGTTTTAGGTTCGATTGTCAAGGACTTAGTACAACATTTGGCCTTTATACGAGTTTCAGATCGATTGTGAAACCAAGTGCAGCAAAAGTTAATCAATGAATGACAGAATATTAAACGGGTCTATTAGGGATGAAAAAGAGATCTCACCGGAAGGTTGAGTATGATAATGAATTTATTTAGACACACACTTAAGATATTTTAAAATTTTTTCTATTTAAAACTTTGAATACAAATTTAGAAGCGTGATTCTCTCTTATGTCAGCTTTGTCTAATTGTCTTCCACAGTACCCAAATTAAATATTTGATTTTTATGCAATTGAAGTAAGTAGGTAGTGTAAGTCAAAAGATGAGGGTGGACTAGGAATCAAGGATGTCAGATTGTTCAATTGGGCACTATTAGGGAAATGGGTATGGAGGTGTATGCTCTATCCAAGTACGATGTGGGCTAAGGTTCTTCAAGGTAGGTATGGGCGCATTGAGTCCTTTTCTAAGACTTCAAATGTGGATAGGAGGGATTCTTGGTGGTGGAAGGATATAGTTTGGGTGCTTCAACAAGGAAATTTTTGGTTGGATGAAAAGATTGATCGTTGTATTGGTGATGGTACTTCGACCCGATTTTGGGAGGATAAGTGGATAGGTGGTTTACGCTTGTTGGATGTCTTTCCTCGTTTGTACTCCTTTGCCTTTGATCCGTTGTCAATGGTGGGGCATAATGGAAATTGGGAGGGATCTACGTGGCTGTGGCAGGTTAAATGGAGAAGAGAACCTTTTGTCCATGAAGTAGGGAGTGTGAATTCCTTACTAGAAATGCTTCAGGGACTACAAATTTTCTCTTCTAAACAAGATCAATGGAGATGGATTTGTGATAAGGATGGTGTATTCTCAGTGAAAAGTGCGTACTCTTGGCTGCAACGCTCGCTAGGTGGAGAACTTTCATATTCCTCAGATTTTCATCTAGTCATAAAAAGTCTTTGAAAATGCAAGGCTCCGATCAAGTGCTTGGTATTCTGTTGGCAAGTGTTCATGAATGCATTCCCTTGCAAATCATTGTTACAAGTACGTGGTGTGGAGTTGGAAAATAATCTATGCTCTCTTTGCTCTTTTTTTATCGAAGACCCTCTTCATCTCTTTCTAATGTGTCCAATGGCTTTTAATACTTGGTTATCTGTAGCTAAGTGGTTGGAGGTTGAGGTGGTCCTTCCAAATTCCCTAACTTCTCTCTATCTATATTGGACGAATCTTGGTATATATAAAAAATCCACGCAGTGTTTTAAAGTGGTTTGGGTGTCTGTAATATGGTCACTATGGCTTCATCGGAATGGTATAATCTTTCAGCAAGGTGTAATGGATTGTAAGGAAGTGTTGGACAACATTAAACTGCGGTCATGGAAGTGGATTAAAAGTTCTGTCCCTGGTTGTTCTTTTAGTTACTCTAGTTGGTATTTCAGCCCACGTTTGTGTATTTCATAATTTTGCTTAGATTTTGAACTCTTCTGTAATGGGTTGGAGTACCCCTTGTACTCCTTATAATTAAAATCTTTTTGCTTATGTATTTCAGCCCACGTTTGTGTATTTCATAATTTTGCTTAGATTTTGAACTCTTCTGTAATGGGTTGGAGTAGCCCTTGTACTCCTTATAATTATAATCTTTTTGCTTATCAAAAAAAAAAAAAAGGTAGTGTCTGTAGGTGTTGGTCGCTAAGACTAATACCATAATTATAAAATATTGAATAAGTAATTTTAAGAGTAATGATTTAATGTTATGTATTTTATATTTTAATAATTTAAAAAGTTAAATCATTAAAACAATTAAAAAGTTGAATATATTCAATATCTTAAAAATATATATAAAAAAAGTTCCAAAGTGGGCATCTTTCTCCAGATGGTTGAATTTCTGGTGAATTCAAAGTTGCAAACTTGAGGGTTTTGAACACAATATGGGTATTAGGAGATGCCAATGGAAGATCTAATATCATTTAATCATATTTTTTAAAGAAATATAATTTTCTTTTCATTAAAATGATGAAAAAGAGACATATTGAGAGATAATTTTGTAACAAAGATGAGTGTAAAATAAGGAAACAGGCGCAGGCTTAGGCCCAAGCGAGGCGAAGAAGCCCATTGATCGAGGAAGGTTAGTTTGGACTTTGGCGGTCTCTTCGGCGATAAGACCGCAACCTCATAGCCCTACTTACCAGCCTCTTTCCTCTGCTTCGTATAAACTACATAGAGTCACAGAGTGTGGAAGCAAAGCAGGTACGCTTTCTCTCTCTCTCCCTCTCTGTTTCCACGCCTAAAATTCAAACCTCAACACACAAAGCAGCAGCCATATCCCCAAAACCTCTCTGCCAAATCAAGTGACAGTGAGTGAGTGGTAGGTGCACGCGCAACATAACTGTATGTCTCTCAGATCTTTCTTTAAACCCTAGCACTAGCACCCTCCGATTTCATCTTCATTTGTTTCTCAAAATCGCTTTTGCTTTCTTTCAGATGGATAGGTATCAGAGGGTAGAGAAGCCCAAGGCAGAGACTCCTATAAACGAGAACGAGATACGCGTTACTACTCAAGGAAGGATGAGGAATTATATCACCTACGCCACCACTCTCCTTCAGGTTTTTTACTATCACTATAATCGCTGCAATTTTTTCTCTCACCTGAAAATTGGCCAAAACGCATCGTTTGTTTCATTCACTCTATGACAATACAGTAGTTGGGGTTGCTCCAATCGGATTAAAGCCGTGTGTTTTATGTATTTGGAATAAAATCTTTCACACAAACTTTGCAGAAAGCAGTGTCTCTGTAACACTTAATTGTATATCTGAAACCAGGTAACTGGATTATCAACAGAGGAAAACGTGAGAGAATCATAAACCAAAACTCGAGTGAATTGAAAATCAGTTACCAGGTAGAGAATCTGATAACAGAACGCCGCGGTGTTGAGCTTTTGGCAATTGGCAAACGAATCAATGAAGGGAACCATTACTAAAACAATGAATTTGCAAAATCAATGATGGGAAATTTCTTGTAAATTAACATGGTTGATGTGTGAAAGATAAAACAAAAGAGCTATGGGAATCAGACAGGGATGACTGACAAGAGAGTGACAGAGCTGAGAGAAATGGTACTGTGACGAGCCTATGTGAATAGGCAAAGCAATAGTATGTTGGTTGAGTGAGGGCAATAATTTGTCCCGGACTTGTTAACCCATAAACGGGGCAAATTTTCCTTCCTAAAATATAATATTAGAATAGCGGTTATCTTGCTATCTACAATCCCGCTATTCAACTTTTGGGGTCGGATGCGCTGTTCCGCTATGTTAGATTGACAACTAGGACTGGTATACCTGTTTCTTTTAAGGCCATAACCTTGACTCTCCCAAGGATTCTCCCTATATTATCCCCACGCAAAACATACCTTGGAGCTGAAATAAAAAGATATTTTTTGAACAATTCTTTGTAGAAATACGACTCATGAAATTTTCTCCTGTTTTTAAGAATATACACCAAATGAACACTCTAGACGATAATCTTTTACTTTATGATATTTGATAACTTTTCCCCGCGCAAGCTCTGATAAAAGGAATTATACTCTGTAAATTATCTTATTGTTAGGATGATCATCTTTTCTCTTCTTATTGTTGTTTTGACCTATTTCTCTCTATAATTGAATTCTTTGTTTACTTCATCATATATGTTGATTTTCCGGTGATTTAGGATTTCCACCTTTTGTTTTTGGTGTGATCCATGCATGTATCAATTTATCTAGAATCAACTGTCATTTTACTATTTTTTAACATTTTATCTTGCTCTATTTGTAATTTTTTTTAGGAGAAAGGATCCAATGAAATTGTTCTCAAAGCAATGGGACGTGCTATAAATAAGACTGTAATGATTGCTGAACTGATCAAGGTGGGAGGATCAATATCTTTATGGAGTATGTTGGTCTGCATTTGTTCATCTTATTTTTGTGATTAGTGACGGCTCTGTTACTTGGTTCAGAGAAGGATTGTTGGCCTTCATCAAAACACCCAAATTGGATCAACTGATATTACTGACACATGGGAACCACTAGAAGAAGGCCTTCTTCCGTATGGATTATTGTTTCTTCTTTGCTACCTTATTAAATACTAAATGTGTTTGGGAGTGATTGTTTTGGTTGTGTTATGCTTGCCTAGTTTGGAGACTACGCGCCATGTTTCAATGATCACAATTACCTTGTCAAAAAAAGAACTGGATACATCCTCCACTGGGTAAGAACTTGGGTGATATTGTTTGATTTCTACCATTAAAATTTTCAAATACTGTAATGAGATTGAGTTCTTTTTAATTATATTTACTGTTGACAAGATCTTAATTTTTCTTTTCTCATGCAGATACCAACCTCCTCTTCCAGTTGATCAAGTAAAACCTTTAAATGAATATGAAGAGGATGGAGGTGAATTGATGAGTTTTTACTTTAAATATTTCAAAAGAGTGAATGTCTTGTGTGGTTTCTTAGCATGCTGACTGGAATTTGATCTGATGTAGAAGGCTCCCCAAGGATGCGAGGAAGAGGGCGTGGTCGTGGAAGGGGCAGGGGTAGAGGTATTGCTAAGTACTTTGTTTCATTTCTTCACTGTAAATGCCTGTATTATAGATTTTGGAATGGTCGTAAATGTTTTCTTGCATTCCTTTTTTTATTTTTGCTGTGACTACCTTAAAATGTAAAACTGCTTATTTGAACGAAGTCTGTTTTGTTTAGGAATTTACAATGGGGGTATGGAATATGGTGATGGTTGGGATGGTGGACGTGGCTATGGTGGAAGAGGGCGTGGCCGTGGAAGGGGACGTGGTTTTCGGGGACGAGGACGAGGCTATGGTGCCCAGCCGATTGGGTACTATGATTATGTTGAATATGATGCGCCACCTGCCCCACGTGGTAAGCATGCGAGTCCACAATTTATATTTCATGATAATAAGTTACCTTTTCTTATATTTTGCTGTGCTATTTGCGTTACATGGTGCTTCCAATTAAATCAGGCTACAGAAGAAACAGAAGAAAATTACTTCATTTAATTTCATAGACTCTTTTCCTTGTTGTCTTTTCAGTTTATTCTGTTCTCTTTTGTTCCTTCTTTAAAGGGACATTGTATTTGTAGTGTAATTTCTATTTGATGGTTTTGCAGGCCGAGGCCGTGGAAGGGGAAGAGGCCGTGGACGTGGAAGGGACCGGGGTGCAGCTGCTTGATCAAGTGGGGGTTGGTTATCATGTATATGTTAAGTTAGAAGATGTTGCCTCTTTGTTTAGTTCTTTGTGAGATTTGCTTATATTTTGGTATTATTTGAAGCGTTCAGTGTTGCAGCCATGTTCCTGCAGTTTTGATTTTGTAGTTTCTTTTTCCTCTGTAACCTCTATAATTTTGCCACGTTGGGTAGGTTAAGTTAGATATATTTCCTGTTTAAAGACTCATAAAAATCACAATTGTAAATTTTTAGTGGGAATTATTGCAGTGAGGTTTTTCCAAATTTGATTTAGTACGTGAATGTGGTATATTTTGAAGAAATTGTACGGGATGTGTAGGAGAACTTTTAAAGAATAAGTAATTATTTTTCCAAATTTAAGCCTTTCGAGGGGATGTTTTCTTTCTATTTAATATTGTTGAAAATTGTAATTTTGGGTAGGACTCACGGCACCTCAAGAAAAATAAGGCCTGTAGATGAAGATTACTACCTACGTTTTAAAACTATTTAAGATTTATGTATATATTCAAGGTCAATGTATATAGATTAAGGAACACTGAACGTATAAATTATAAATGTATTCAGTTTAAAATATTTATTTGATATAAATGTAATTATTGTTTGTTGTACTGATTCTTTTTTGTTTAATTAGGTTGTGTAAATATAGTATTTCTTGTACAGATTACATCTGGTTATATTAAATGGCAATATATGAGGGAAAAGATTAATGAAATAAAATAAAAAAACTAAAATATAACTAATTTTGGAACTGTAGGATGTCAGCATCAACTTCAGCGCATAACCAACTTTTGCGAGCATCAATGATTTCAGGACTTCGTGTCATTGTAATAAAACCTTAGTTTGTTGTACTATGAAATTTCCGAGTGACTTGAAAGTTTCGTGCATATGTAATTAAAAACAGAATTATTTCCTTCGTCGTACAATCACACAATGATTGCTCTTCATAAATTTATACACAGATTAAAATTTTTGGAGTAATAAATATATAATTTGTTTTTTACAATTTAACTAAATTATTCCGATTTTTTTAATAAATAAATTTATTTGAAATGTAATAATTAAATAATTAATAAAAAATAAGAGTTAGAAAAAAATAACAATGAATATCATGTTGAAAATTACCTTCTGTCCCAAAACTTAAACTCTTCTAGTTTTTTTTTATATATTTATTTTGTTTTCGAACTTATTATTTTTTTAACGATTCTAACAAATTTTTATGCATTTTTTTCCTTCTAATTATGTCCTTATGTGTTATTGAGTAATTAAAACTAATTTAAGTGGAAAAAAAATATCATTTTGAGTGGAAAATTATTTTACAATAATATAAATGAAGTAATCTAAATATATATAAGTTAAATGTTTCTTAATCTAAATATATATAAATTAATGTGTAAAAAATTAAAAGTATTGGCATACAATGTTAAAAAATACGAATATTAGTTATTTTATTTGAATATTAAAATTGTGGTTAATTTGAATCTAACAAGTTATATTTTATTAGTTGTTGACGAATGGGAGGAAGAAAGTTATTTTGACGGGAAGAAGAATTCTTGATTTTTCTAGCGATTGTATTAAATAACATCTATAATTTTATAAACAATATTTTGAATATTTCTTATGAATTAATAAAAAATTCTTGAAAGTGATAATGATAAAATGTCTCGTATCTTACTTTATTAATCTGTCACGCTTTATCTCGTCGTGTCTTATTTGATTTCATCCCGTCTTATTTAATAAAGTGAGTTCAAAATTTCAATCCACCTTGTCTATAAAATATTTATAAAAATATAAATTTTTTTTACGGCATAATTTTTTTGTTGTAATTTTAAAATATGAAATCATAAATGTATTTATTTATTTTATAAGTTTATTGTAATAAAAAATTATCACATTTATACTATTTATAATCATATAAATTATATTTTAAATATTTTCTATGAATTAATAAAAAGTTATTGAATGCGAGATTGACAAAATACTTTTCAGTTCGTCATATCCCATCTTGTCCCATCTCAATTATTAGAATGAATTATGAAATCTAAATCAAACCAAACAAATTTTTTGCAGTTTGGTTTGGTTCAATTTTTGTGATTTTTAAAATTTGTTATTTAAAAATAAACTAAAAATATGTAATATTATTTTCTTTGTTTAAGATGTTAAAATTAAAACTAAAAAGTATACAAATAGTTAAATATTTTGATCACTTAAAAAGTGCAATTTGATTTGGTCTTGATTGGTTTCACATTCTAATCCAAAAACATAACCAAACCATGCAGTTTTGGAAATTTAAAATTTGAAATGTTAATTTGTAGTTCTCCATCGATTTACGATTTTTTATTTGGGTTTGTTCAATTTTAAACACCCTTACTATTGAGCGAAATGAGTTCAAAAATTCAATCCGCCTTGTTTATAAAATATTTATAAAAATGTAAGTTTTTTTTTTATAACATGAAAACATTATTTTTAAATTTAAAAAGAATTAACTTATCTTAAATTTGAATATTTTGTAATTTTAAAATGTGAAATGATAAATACATTTAATTATTTTACAACTATATTGCAATTAAAAATTTATTATTTTTATAATATTTATGATTCTATAAACAATATTTTAAATATTTCCTATAAATTAATAAATAGTTACTGGAAGTGGAAGCAACAAAATACTATGTGTCTTAGTAAAGTAATTTCAAAAATCTAATATATCCTGTATAATAATTATAAAAATTATATATATATATAATATTTATTGAAAATTAAATAAATGAACCTAATATTTCAGTAATAATTAATTTAAACACAATAAATGAAATTTAAAATTTCATAAAAATAATTAACATGACTATTCACACATAGTTAATGTGCTATATATATATATATGAAAGAGATCCACATACTCCAATAATAAGTTTTAATAAATATACTTTACTCAATAACTCATGTTTTACATCAAATTTTAATGATTCAATTGACAAATTAAAAATATAGATCAAGTTTGCGAATTTTTAAAAAAATTTAAATATCATACTTTGTTATATAAATTCAAATCAACTTATAAAGTACTTTTATGATTTTTTGTTAATTTAAATTAATAAAATAAAGTATAAAAAAAATTGACAAATTAACCCATCCCTACCAATTTTTTTAAAATTTACTAACCTGAGGTTAGATATGATGGGTCAAAGCAGTTTAGTAGATTAACAAAATGAACCTATATCCCATCTCCTAAAGTTGGATTACACGGATTGACATGTCAAGCCAAACTCATATTGTAACCCCTAATTAAAAGTACTTATTTTTATAGTCTTACTATAATAGTGAAATATTTGCTAATTACAGACGTTATTTTTTTAACAATGCTATTACTAGGAAAATATCATTTTCCTGCAAAAAAAAAAAAATATTCGCAGAAATTTTTTGCGAAAAATAATTTACAAATATTTCTTACAAATTTTGCTACAATTTTTTTAATAATCATAGAAAAATTTTTTCATGGTAAAAATTTGCAAAAAAATATTGTAAGAATTTTATTTTGTTTCTTGCAGATTTTCTTGCAAAAATAAATTCGCAAGTAATGTTTACTAAATGGTAGAAAGATTTTGCAGGTAACTTTTCTTGCGGAATTTCCTGCAAATTTTAATCCACAAGAAAAATAAAAATATATTTTAAAAAAACTTCAAGTCCCACATTGATTGAAAATAAAATAATTAAAGAGTATATAAGTTGGGATAACACTTACCTTACAAGTTGATTTGTATGGTTGAATGTTAGACTTATAATCTACAATCTTAGAATTTAAAAGATTATGTATCACATGTTGGAGGCATGGAAACAAATGCTTTGGATGACTTCATTTATTGATAGAATTTATAGTAATTTCTTTAATTTTTTCCGTAAAAAATATTCTTGTAGAATTTATTGCGAAAAAATTTTCTGGAAATTTTCCTGTGAATTTTTTTTGCAAGTAATTTCGCAGGAAAATTTCCTGCGAATTTTAAAATTCGCAAAAATATATTATCCGAGGTATTACCTGCAAATAAAATTTCGCAAAAAAATTTGTAAGAAAAACAACTTCATTTTTATACCACTTCTGAAATTATTTTTTATCTCTTCAAATTTTTCAAAAATTACCCTTACAAATTACGCTAACTAAAAAATTTATTATTAACAAGTCACTTTGATTAAATTTTATTTTTAAAAACACACGGAAGAACAAATTTTTTATGCAACTATATTATAAAAACAATATACTTTTATTATAATTATAATATCAAAATAGGTTTGTGAGTTCAACGGTTGAACCCAACCTTATCTGTCGTCCCTAATTAAAAATTATTCATTTTATGTTATTATTATAATAGTGAAGTATTAGTTAATTAGTGACATATTATTATTTATGATGTTTAGGACTTTTTTATCTTTCTCTTCTAATTTTCAAAAAATAACTTGACAAACAACATCATAGTTTTAAAACTTGTATTAATTAATATATATATATATATATATATATATTAATTTTTGAATTAAATATAGATAAAACTAACATGGTATAATATTAAAATAAATTATTTTCCATTGTAGTAAAATTAAATATTTAAAAATAATGACGATATAAAATAAATATTCCAAGAAAATAAAAAAAATAAAAAAGTTATTAAATAATAAAAAAATTCTTAAAATAAAAGAAACTGGTTGATATTTTTATATATTTTAAAAATAAATTCAAACTAGTATTAAAATGATTTTAAAATTTAATTTATCCAGAATATGTTTTGTCTCTTAATAAAAATAAAATAATATTGTAAAGCTATTTATATTATTAATTAAAATATGTAATAACATTTATAATTGAAAAAAAAATTGTAATCTTTAAAAAAGATTTAAAATAAATAAAACCAACAAACATCTAAAATTTGATTTGATTTGATTTAATTTATTTTTTTGATTAATTACTATTTTTTTGAATATTAAAATATAAATTAGAATGAAGAAAGATGAAGAAGAAAAAAAGGTGCGGTTGGTTTTGGCCGGAAAAAGTTTTCTTGTGACACGTGTAAAAATTAAAAATCTTATTTTATCATAGAAATTCTACGGTATCCTAAAAAATTTAAAGGATTTAATTTTTTTTTGTTTTTTTTAAAAGAATATGAGAACATTTGATATTTTAGAATAATTTGATTATATTTATTATTCTTTTAAAATTCTTAATTAAT